TTTAGCGGACGACGAATTTCAAAATTTATGTTTCGAGTTCGGATTAGAATTGGACGAAGTGGTATGAAACTTGTATTTTATTAATTAATTAAGGAATTAAAAACATTTTGTGGACTCATTCCCCGACTTATGCTATATCTAATCGTTTGTAGTTGACGGAAAAACAAATGATCGCTAAAGGGGGAGAACAGATCATGGATCAGGCGGAAACATCGGACGATATTATATATAAAATTGATATACCGGCAAACCGATACGATCTACTCTGTTTGGAGGGTCTGTCTCTTGGTCTACGTATATTTTTAAATCAGTACGTACATCGTCGAAACTTAAGACACGTGCCAGTATTTATATCGTTCCATTGATACAGATTAAGTGCACCGCGATACACGAAGATACTTCCAACTACGAATCAACAGAGGATCGTCATGACAAAGGAGGTACGCGATACTGTCTCTTTCGATCATCATTACGGTCAAGTGTTTAAGAACAATAATGGAAGGAATGAATTGCAGTGTCTCAAGATCAGAGGACACGTCGTCGCGGCCGTTTTACGGGATGTCACGTTTACGAAAGACACTTACAACAGTTTCATTGATCTCCAAGAAAAGTTACATCAAAATATAGGCAGGAAAAGAAGTTTGGTCTCGATTGGGACTCACGATCTGGATACCATCAAAGGGCCATTTTTATACGACGCGCGAAGCCCAAAAGACATCCGTTTCAAACCGCTTAACCAGGACAAAGAATATTCCGGAGATGAGATCATGAACTTATATGCCGTCGGTGGTTTTCTTTAAGTTAAGTTTGTAGCTTTGGCTCGAATTGAATTTCTATTAAAGGATTACGTTTTCAGAATCATGCGCAGCTGAAGCAGTACTTGCACATCATAAGGGACAGTCCAGTTTATCCCGTGGTCGAAGATAGCAACGGAACAGTGTTATCCCTGCCGCCGATCATCAACGGAGATCATTCGAAAATTACGCTCGACACTAAGAACGTATTTATCGAATGTACCGCGACTGACTTAACAAAGGTATAAACGAAGAAGGTGCGGCTAACGTCTGAGCTCGTAAGAAGGAGATGTGAACGATTTTCAGGCGAGGGTAGCATTGGACACGATAGTTTGCGCCTTTAGTCAATACTGTAAAGTAAAGTGTACGGTAGAAACGGTAGAAGTCGTGTATCCGAACGAACAAGTGTTTCGATATCCCGACTTGAAGTATAGAGACATAGAGATTGATTGTAACAAGGCGACGAGATACATCGGCATCGAACAAACGCCAAACGAGTTAGCTGATTTGCTTTCAAGGATGTCTTTGAAGACGTCCGTCAGGAATGGTACTAAATTGATCGTTCAAGTACCTCCGACGAGACACGACGTGATACATGACTGCGATATTTTCGAGGACATCGCTATAGCTTACGGGTACAACAAAATTCCAAAGACGTTACCGCGTTTGTCTACCACTGCCGAAGAGGTAAGAACTCGAACGACGACTATTTCAACGCTTCGCAGTCGAATAACACGTGTATTTTCGAATCTAGTTTCCGCTCAATAAATTATCCGATCAGTTGCGCATAGAATTGGCCTGCGCTGGATTTACGGAAGCATTGACTTTCTCGTTGGTACGTAACGATTCGTTTGATGGATTCGTTGTAATTGAATCAACTTTCTATTCTTTTTAAATAGTGTTCCCGCGAAGATGTAGCGGACAAGCTAGGCCGTAATTTGGCGGACGTACCGGTGGTCCACGTGTCCAATCCCAAGACGTTCGAATTTCAGGCATGTGCGAGATCAGATCAATTAAGTGACTGAACTATGGACCGTTCCATTATCGCCCGGTAACGTTACAGGTCGCGCGTACCACTTTACTACCAGGTTTACTGAAAACGTTAGCTTCGAATAAGAAGATGCCGCTTCCGTATAAATTGTTCGAGATCTCCGACGTTGTGTTAAAAGATAAGAACGTGGATGTTGGCGCGCGTAATCAGCGACGTTTGTGCGCTGTGTATTACAATAAATCGGACGGTTTCGAAGTGATCCATGGCCTATTAGACAGAGTGTTACAAATATTGGAAGTTCCGTGGTGCTACAATCAGAATACGGATGGATACTGCCTCCGTGCGATTGATGGTAAAGTTATCGCACTGACTCGAAGAACTCGCTTGGTTGTTCTAGCTTACAAACGTATTTCTTCTTTTCTCTAGATCCCGCTTTCTTCACCAATCGTTGCGCGGAGATATCGTGCTACGGAGAGGTGATCGGGAAGATGGGAGTTCTCCACCCAGATGTCATCTCGAAATTCGAATTAAACATGCCTTGTTCCGTGTTAGAAATCGACATTGAAACACTTTTGTAATGTTTTGATAAAAAGTAAAATAGTCGAACACGCGTTTAAATACACACGTCCCTGGCTTTTTCTTCAAATCCACTTTATCGTTGTTTGCAAATAGCCGATTAAAAATGCAGAAGACGTGTGCACGTGCCTATATCTAGCAGTATCTACGCGCACTTACGTAATGTAATTAAAAAAATAGTGGCTTTACCTCTTGTCGAATACCAATCGCATTCGATCGAACGATGACACTCGATTTAGCGATAGTCCGTTTTATTACGTCTAATTTAAAAGGGCAGTAGAACCCGCAGTTTATCGCGAGAGGGTGTGAGAGGGAAAAAGAGCGAGAGCGAGAGGGAGAGAGGACGGATTGAAATTACGCGCCGAGAGACGCGGTAAAGATGGCACGTCGAATCAAACGCGACGATATAGATACGTAAGTAGATGGTCGAAGAGGGATCTGGGCATGGGAGACTCGGTGTCGGCCATAGTAGAAATGGCGGGTGTTAGCTTACGTGAATGACGGCGATCGTGCTCGAGATTATTGTCGAAAAGCAAGTGTTCTGTGTGTGTTTCGCGGCACGGGAACGATACCTCAGTATCATATGATTCATCTGGAAGGTAAAAATGCAGAATGTAGCACAAGGAACGACCTCAGATAGTCAGAAGCACGAGAAATCAGCGAGCATTCACCACGATATTGGAAAGACGTCGTCGACTCCCCAGTCTTCGAACTCAAGCCCTACCAAGTCAGAGACCGAAACCTTCTCCGAGTTGCAGCCACGTTTTATGGCTGACTCGTCGGAGAGCGAGGAGGACAGTGGTTCTGAGGTAAATGACAGCGGCGAAAAAATCTGCCACGTCGTAAATATGATATTCGTTTGTTCGTCGTCGTCGTTCACCGTGCTGCAACTCATTGCAGGTTGAACGCACGCACGCACTTACTCACTCACTCGGATACTTACGCACGCACACGCACACGCATACTCGTTGTCGCTTCTGTCGTCTGTCCATCCAGTCATCGTTTTCCTCCTCCTCCTCCTCCTCCTCTTTACCTTCTCCTCTTTTTTTCTATTCATCTTACGTACTTGCTCTCGTTCTTTTACCAATTCTTCTTTATACGTTTTATCTACATCTATTTAAATAGATACAAAATGTACATATCACATTCGTGTACGTGCGAGTACACGCGCGCATACTGTACGACCACACATACCGCAAACAGAGCAAAAGGAAGAGAGAGAGAGAGCGAGGGAGAGAGTGAAGTGGGTGTGCGTATATAAGAGGGAAGGTAGAGAATGCGATACGTGTGTATGTGTGCATGTCCCTACGCTTTTTATCAAATCTGCTCGAGACGATATTAATCTCGTTTGACATTTCCCTAATATTACAACTTTATTATAGTTTCTCATTTCGCGATCCTTCGACATCATTACGGTGATGTACGTATCAGTTTCGTAACGTCAACGTACTCCGGACTCTCTTTATTCCTCCCATATACGCATGAACCTGCCATGTCCACGGTGAAATAGATGTTATGCCGAAGAATGAACCCGCACGTCCAGCGAGTGTAGAATCGTACGCGTTAAATATACTGATATCGTCGGTGGCATGTCGTCCTCGCGGAAAACAGCACGGCCATTACCGACGCCTGCATCCGTATTTCAATAAACGACGTACGCGTAATACTCGGTATACGAATGAACTATCAAACGAGATTTGTAAAATGAAAGAGAACGCTACGGTAATAACCATTTAATTCGATTCCGCGAAGGAGAGACGTTGCGATCCGTGGCTCGACCTGCTCGGCTGTTTAAACCAGTGCTACCACGAAACGAATTCTCTGCTGGTGTAAATGTTTTATCGTCGAGAAAAAGGAAAGAATGAGAAGGGATTTTACGCAGGGACCATTATATAATCATCAGAAATAAATGTTTACACGCGTTAATGACTGACCGATCGTCGAGGTGGATTGTTTGCGAAAAAAAGAGAGGAAGGTACGCGTATTCCGAAACGGACGTACAAATCTGCGTCGGTATTTAGAATTGCCTAGTGTTCGTCTACGTACCAGTTTGAACAATGCATATCTTTACGGTCCCAATGATCTATCTGCCGTAGGATTCGTTCAAATTTATTGACTGATATCGAGCTTCTCGCAGTTGACAAAGTACGCGCAAACTGTTCAACGAGTTATCCCATACTTTCGTTCATTTATTTTTATAATTATATTACTTAAAATAATCGAGATACGCGGGTACGCATTATACGTACGACGTACGAAGAGAACTTACACACGTATAAGCAAATAGTGGGTAAAACACTGTGATTAGTATATAGTTGCAGCGTATAATAATGAAGCGCGTGCGCACGCACGTGTATGTTTGTGTACATATATGCTTACGGCTTTAGCTTATATACGTATACCAGTGAACAAGCGTCTATGCATATATTTAGTAATATACACGAATGTACATGTATATCGCACGCATACGTATCTATTGTACAGCGAGCAAGTATATTTTTCGTTGCGGTAGTAGATGCCTATGTAGAATAATAGTAGCCGCACACCGAGCCACTCGTTTCTACATGTACACGCATACGTATACAATGTATTTTGTGTGTATGTGTGGCTATTTTATGTCCGCTTGCACTACGTCGTGCGCCACCCAGCGGAGTTCTCTTCGGCCGCGTTTCTCGAGTCGAGTTCGTGAGCCTGCTTCTCGTTTCTTCGCTCTTCTTTCACCCTACCCTTTAGACCCATCCATAAGTGTATTTCTTAGCTTGTTGCAACGTGGTGAACCCTCGCTGTCAACCAAATTTCAACTATATACTTGGCTCCGATCCCTGCCGGTTAGATACATACTTACTTACTTAGTTACTTACTTTACTTGCTCGCTCGCTCGCTCGTTCGCTCGCTCCTCGTCGTCTCTCCTGTGTGTCGCTCGTGTTCGTGGCGTGGACATTGTCGAAAGCAGAGCCACCATATTATTCTATATTCTATCAACTACGGTTCTTACACGGAGTTCTTTTTTTTTTCCACAACTTTTCATCATCCGAACGATTGTACCAATTATTTGGGACTCGCGATCGCAGTGGGCTTTCGCACGATACGTGAATACGATCAGTAAGATTTCTATTTTACTGTGTTTTCAAGAGGAAATAAACGGGACGCGAAGGTGTACACGTAGTGCACACAAGGAAGTGTCAGTTTCGTGTTTCGTCCTTCTTGGAATGGCTGCACATTCTTCTTATGTCTCTGTGTTGTTTGTTGGCGAGCGATTTTAAACGTGTTAGGAAGATACGACGATACTTTCATCTGCCTTCCGATTTACGTTTATGTCTCATCGGTTCCCACTCGTCGCAGGAGAGGATATGACCTCTACGCGAGATGTACGTACCAGTACCTACATACTATTTACCATTAACCCCTCCCGTTTGCGTTGTTCTTTCGACTTTTTATTTTCGATCAGATTCACCGAGAAATTTCATCGGGAACTCGCCACGCGTCACGGATCGTCGAACGAACGTATTTCCAATCTCTGTTTCCTTTCCTCGCTGTTCATTGTCTTCTCACCTTCCTCGCGACGATACTCCGGATAGTAACCTATGCCTGGCTGTTCCTTTGTACATTTGCACGTAACATGCGTATATTATATTAACGTTTGAACGCAATTTTTCTTCCACCGTGCCTCTCTGTCTTCCTTTCTCATTGTTCTGCCTGCCTTCCGACGACCAAGGTAACGGATATTCGATATTCGAACAACTTGAATCACCGTTACAAAAGGTTTCTATGCCGGTGACAAATTTGTGACAAATTAACCAGCATGGACTATTCGTGTACCCATAAATATAAATAAATAAAACCTACCCTGTCTTCGTGCGATGCGTATACGTTTATGTGAACAGAGAGAATGTTTCATTTGTGTCAGAAGTGATTGTATTTGATAACTCTATGCAAAGATGGAGAGAAACATTTATTCAAGATACGTTTGTCGTTAACTATTCGCAGGTGGAGTGTTTCCCAATCGATCAGGTTGAATTAGACGAAGGTCATCATTTAGAGTCATCCAAGTTTCTGTTAACCTCGGAAGATCCAGAGAGATCGGTGGACCCTGAAACTCAGGCTCGATTAGAAGCACTGCTGGAAGTAGCTGGTATTGGCAAGTTGTCATCGGGCGATGGGAAGCACTTGCCTGATCACGAAGTGCTCCGTCGCTTAACATCTAGTGTTTCTTGTGCATTAGATGAAGCAGCAGCTGCGTTAACTCGTATGCGCAGCGATAATCCACGCACACAAAACGAAAAGCGCTCTCTCGTAGAGGCTTGCACTGACGGCGACGTAGGTACTGTCAGAAAATTATTAACAGAAGGACGCAGCGTTCACGAAACTACAGAGGAGGGAGAGAGTTTGCTCTCTCTCGCCTGCTCAGCCGGATACTACGAACTTGCTCAGGTTTTACTTTCGTTTCATCTTACTCCTTACTTGAATCAGAAAATTTTCGAGCCCGCTCTCTACAACGTTAATAATTGCCATTCGAGTAGCTAACGAGCAACGTTTCGTTCGTCCAAGTTCCTCGATCGTTACACGAATAGTTATACTCTGTTGCGATACACAGGTACTTCTGGCGATGAGTGCAAATGTAGAAGATCGTGGCATAAAGGGGGACTGTACCCCTTTAATGGAAGCTGCCAGTGCGGGGCACGTAGACGTCGTAAGCTTGCTTATTGCTCACGGAGCTGATGTCAATGCTCAATCTACTTCAGGTACAAAACGTTCTTTAAGTCCTTTCTCGAAAGATATACTCGAATATTCGTGTCACGACCGGACCGAGGACTTTAACGCGAATTGGTTTGATGAATGAACGATCGTGTCGCAGGTAACACACCCCTTATGTATGGCTGCGCGGGTGGTCACGAGGAGGTAGTGCGAGTATTGTTGGAAGCAGGTGCCAATGTGGAAGATCACAACGAGAATGGTCATACTCCGTTAATGGAAGCAGCTAGCGCTGGCCATGTTCCAGTAGCCAAGATCTTGCTGGAACATGGTGCCGGTATTAATACTCACTCGAACGAATTCAAAGAATCCGCGTTAACCCTGGCTTGTTACAAAGGACACTTGGAGATGGTCCGCTTCTTGTTGGAAGCCGGCGCTGATCAGGTATCCGTCACGAAACGCAGTCGTAACAAAGACATCTCGTGGAAATGTTTTCTTAATCTTAAGCCTTGATCGAGGTAATAATTGATTTTACGCGATCGATTCGATAGGAGCACAAAACTGATGAAATGCACACTGCCCTTATGGAAGCATCGATGGACGGTCACGTAGAAGTAGCTCGTTTATTGTTAGATTCGGGTGCGCAGGTGAATATGCCAACGGACAGTTTCGAATCTCCGTTGACTCTGGCCGCGTGCGGCGGCCACGTCGATCTGGCTATGCTCCTGATCGAGCGAGGGGCTAACATCGAGGAGGTAAACGACGAAGGTTATACGCCGTTGATGGAAGCTGCGCGCGAGGGGCACGAAGAAATGGTGGCGTTGCTTTTGAGCCAAGGTACGCGTCGGGTTCGACTAGTTCCTTTCGATTTGCTAAACAGAGTATGGAATTGCAGGAGCTAATATCAATGCTCAAACGGAGGAGACCCAAGAAACAGCGCTTACGTTGGCCTGTTGCGGCGGTTTTCTCGAGGTCGCTGATTTTCTGATCAAAGCGGGAGCCGACATCGAGTTAGGTGCCTCGACTCCTCTGATGGAAGCCGCGCAGGAAGGCCACTTGGAGCTCGTTCGTTATCTACTTGAATCTGCTGCGGACGTTCACGCTCAAACGCAAACCGGGGATTCGGCACTGACGTACGCCTGCGAGAACGGTCACACCGACGTAGCGGATCTTTTACTGCAGTACGGTGGTGACTTGGTACGTTACGGTAGAATCGAAGTTACATTTACTACGAATAGGATCTACATGTGTTCTCGTTCTGATTTCGTAGGAGCACGAATCTGAGGGAGGAAGGACACCGTTGATGAAGGCGTGTAGAGCCGGCCATCTCTGTACGGTTCAGTTTCTTATATCGAAACGCGCCGATGTTAACAGGCAGACAACGAATAATGATCATACACCCCTTTCGCTGGCTTGCGCCGGCGGACACCTCGCAGTCGTCGAACTGTTGCTTGCACAGTCTGCGAGTCCGTTTCATAAATTGAAGGTGCGTGCTCCGCGGTCGACTCTCCTCCGATCCCTTTACCGTCTGCGCAAGCATCATCATTTGCCTCTCATTTTTTATAGGACAATTCAACGATGTTGATAGAAGCTGCGAAGGGTGGCCATACCAGTGTAGTACAACTCTTGTTGGACTATCCTCATAGTATTATGATGAGCACACCACATAATACGACACCTACACCTATGTTGCTACCACAACAACAACAACAGCAGCAACAACAGCCGCAGCCGCAGCAGCAGCAACAACAACAGCAGCAGCAACAACAACAACAACAGCAGCAACAACAACAACAACAACAGCAGCAGCAACAACAACAACAACAGCAGCAGCAGCAGCAGCAACAACAACAACAACAACAACAGCAGCAACAACAGCCGCAGCCGCAGCAGCAGCAACAACAACAGCAGCAACAGCAACAACAACAACAACAACAGCAGCAGCAGCAACAACAACAACAACAACAGCAACAACAACAACAACAACAACAACAACAACAACAACAACAACAACAGCAGCAGCAGCAGCAGCAGCAGCAACAACAGCAGCAGCAGCAGCAGCAGCAGCAGCAGCAGCAGCAGCAGCACATAGTCCATCAACAACATGTGCCCCATCAACAGCATACATCGACGCAACCTCAGCCACAACAACAACAGCATGCTGCGGATCAATCGCAAATTCAAAATCTTCCACCTAAACATAACACGCAAAAATCATTGTTAAGAAAGAATCGATCTGTAACCATGATGCCCGATATGAGTTTAACTTCTGCGGAGGCGCAACAAGTTCGATCTCAGCCCGCAGGAGAGTCGATCGTGACAACTAAGGACGACACGAATATTCTGGACAAGGGTAGTGGAGGATTTACAAATCTCTCAGAACCTAACATTAGTCTCAGCCCTGCTCCAGCGCCGACACCAGGATTAAATCTCACCGAGAACCGAAAGAACACTCGGCAGGAGCAGATTCTTCATAAGCAACAAATTCTCGAGGAACTACAGGTACTTACTTCCGTTAAATCCCGAGGCAATTTGTTTCCCAGCGATTCGATTAAACGTTTTTCAATGTATACCTTCAGAGGGTAGAGAGAGAACTTCAAATAAAGGGCGCGGGACACTTGTTCTCCGCTTCAAGAAATTCAGTCGTCACTCAGCAACAGCAACCGCAACAGCAACAGCAGCCACCGCAACAGCAGCAGCAACAGCAAGAGGACTCTAATAAAGCGGATGCGTTGTCACCAGGTAAATTAAACGATAATCTTCATAAGAGCACGATATAAATTGATACGGTTAACTGTATCATCTCGATTTACGATTTGTTCATCTTCGTATCCTCCGCAAGAGTAATTCTTAATTGCGATCTGTGTTCTCAATTGAAAGGTTTAGTTTGCAGTACAACCGGCATGCCTGGAAATTTGTTGACTCATCAAGATGCGATGTCCTTGTATAGTGCATTTCTGGCAGGGAAACGAGCGAAAGAAGCTCAGCTAGCGTTCGAGATGTCTGAAAATTTTCCTACGACAAACGCTTTCCCTAATTCTCCTCCGCTGACGACGTTACCCGCCGTTACGTCTGTTCCCCTGCTTACTTCTACGACATCCTCGACGACCATGCCAAGTCCTCCGAGCATATCGACGCCACCCACTGTCATGGCTATTTCCCAACCGATTACCGCGAGCAGTGACGTTAGCCAAAGCACCGCTATAAACGATCGACCGAAAGCGAAACCTGTCTCTAAGAAGGAGGGTAAAAATGTCCGAAAAGCTTCATCGAACGTCATGGGTGGGAAGCTGTCGCAACAGCAACAACAGCAGCTGCAACAACAGCAGCAACAGCAGCAGCAAGCTAACTTGATGGCTGGCCTGCAGCAACAGTACCAGCAAAAACGACAGCATACTTATCAAGTTCAACAGGTACACCAGATGCAGCAGCTCAATCAGCAGTTACAGTTACAACTGGATCAAGTGCAGGTTCGTCGTTCCTTCCCTTTACTTTCGTCACTTTTCCTACGCTCCTCGTTTTTACTCTCTTGGTTAAGTTACGATAATATATTTCTGTTTAGGTACAACAGCAGCAGCAGCAGCAGCAACAACCGCAAGTTCAACAGCAACAACAACAGCAGCCGCAGCAGTTGCAGCCGCAGTTACAGCCACAGCAATCGCAGACGCAGCAGCAGACAGTAGTCGCTGCTAACGGAAATAACATACTTATGCCTACCCAGCTGATATCGCATCTTCATCCCACTCATACTCATCATCTGCACGACCAGGTAATTGCAGGCTACTTATTCCTATTCGTCAATGTACGAACCGTCAAATTATTATTAAAAAAACTAATATATATCTGCAGCAAGCGACTCAGCAAAATTTAACGGAACAGGGAGATCCAGAGTTAGCGAGATTACATCGCGACGGAGCTTGTCCGTTTGTTGCCGCAGCTCAAAAAGCAAAGGCTCTTTGTACCAGCGAAAGTGTCATTAAGTTAGAGGATGGTACGCATATACCCTTGGACGACGCTTTCGAAATATTTCGATCTATCAGTTTCGACGATACTGTCGATGGTAAATATTTATAAAGAACATCACTGATCATCCGCTTGTTCCTTTGTATTTAATTGATACATGATAACCCGTTATGTTGAAGTAGCAACAGAGGATCAAGAGAAGCTCGAGTCGAAAAGATTAGAGATTTCTAATAGTAAGGATTCTCAACAACCGCAACCGCAGCAACATCAGCAGCAACAGCAGCAATTGCAAACCACTCAGATCGTTCAGCAAACGACCAGTCCTTACGCGTCTCAAGAGTATTTTACTAATCCTGTGTTACCCACTTTACCTTCGCTTCAAGTGACCAGCGCCGATGCTCAAATTCAAGCCGACGTTCCGACAGGTTTACAGTTAACCGGTACGCAAACTCTGCAAAACCAAACGCTTAAAGATCGTTTCGAATTGGAAGAACTCCAAGCGGGATATCTCGACGGTTTCCGATGCCATTTTCAACCGCAACTACTGCTCCAACCTTCTCAAATAAGTAAGTCGACGTTTTGTTCGATCGGCTTAAAACCGTGCGGATGCACGAAATTGGTGATAACGTTTTCATCTGTGATTAGCATTTCCCACGCAAGCTTTGCCAACCGTGACCGAAGCAACAGGAATAATAGATAATGTACCCCATCAAACGAACGGCTATGCTCAACCAACGGCTTGCAGCACTAATCAGGTCCAAGTGGCGACCCAAACCCAAGCACCAGCGGCGACGACAGCGGCGACGACCGTCGCCCCGGACAAAAAACAAGTTTACACCACGCCTTCGACGGGTAAAGGGAAGAAGGGCCGTTATCCGCTTTTATCTCAACAATCGTCTTGTCAGCAGCAACAGCAGGCGGCTAACACTCAACAACAGACTCCGAGTTTCCCCAGTCAGAACTATCAGTTGGATCCGACGACAGGTAAGAGGCGATCCAATTGCATCCGTCGACAAATCGTAAACTACGCACCGTCTCTCGAGTTTATAATCGGTGATCGCTCATTTCGTTAGTCGCTGGACAATATACAACGGGCGTCCCAACAGTCGGAGGTTACACTACTAGTCAAGTACCACCTGCACCATTTTCTTGCATGGACGTGGATTCTGAAACGGACAGTAATCATGACACGGCTCTCACCTTGGCATGCGCTGGCGGACACGAGGAGCTCGTTGAACTTCTGTTGAGCCGTGGTGCAGACATAGGTACGTTCCATTTCCTGTCTTATACGCGCGCGTGTACAACCGGCATCGATCATGTATGTACGAAATATAATTTGTAATATTTTCCAGAGCATAGAGATAAGAAGGGATTCACCCCGCTAATTTTGGCAGCGACAGCTGGCCATCAAAAAGTAGTAGAGATCCTTCTGAACCACGGAGCGGATATAGAGGCTCAGTCCGAACGTACCAAGGATACGCCCCTGTCACTTGCCTGTAGCGGCGGTAGATACGAAGTGGTAGAGTTGCTACTTAATCGAGGCGCTAACAAAGAACATCGCAACGTTTCCGATTACACGCCTTTGAGCCTCGCAGCGTCCGGTGGATACGTTAATATAATCAAGCTTCTCCTTAGTCACGGTGCTGAGATCAATTCCCGAACAGGCTCGAAGTTAGGTATCTCGCCGCTGATGCTGGCTGCTATGAACGGTCACGTCGCGGCGGTGAAATTGTTGTTAGACATGGGTAGTGACATCAACGCTCAAATAGAAACGAATCGCAATACGGCGCTTACGTTGGCATGTTTTCAAGGAAGACACGAGGTGGTCAGCCTCCTCCTCGATCGTAAAGCTAACGTGGAACATCGAGCTAAGACGGGACTGACACCGTTGATGGAGGCAGCCAGCGGCGGATACGTAGAAGTTGGACGCGTTCTACTTACCAAAGGAGCGGACGTGAACGCCACTCCGGTCCCATCGTCTCGCGATACTGCCCTCACGATCGCCGCTGACAAAGGACACTGCCGTTTCGTAGAATTACTGTTGTCGCGAGGGACGCAAGTGGAGGTAAAGAACAAGAAGGGGAACAGTCCGTTATGGTTGGCTGCTAACGGTGGACATTTGAACGTTGTCGATCTGCTGTACCACGCGAATGCGGACATAGATTCGCAGGATAATCGTAAGGTCTCTTGTTTGATGGCCGCTTTTCGTAAGGGGCACATCAAAGTGGTGAAGTGGATGGTAAATCACGTCACTCAATTTCCGAGCGATCAAGAAATGACAAGATATATCGCCACAGTCAGCGATAAGGAGCTGTTAGAGAAGTGTCACGAGTGCGTGAAGGTGATACGAGCAGCGAAGGAGACTCAAGCGGCGAAAGCGAACAAGAACGCGACGATACTGTTGGAGGAACTCGATATGGAGAAGACCAGAGAGGAGTCGAAGAAAGCGGCGGCTGCTCGTAGGCGGGAGCGAAAGAAAAAGAAGAAACTCGAGAAGAAAGAGGAGAAACGTAAGTTGCACGAGGAGTATAAGAAAAGTACAAGCGAGACGAATTACGAAGATAAGGAGGAGAACGGGAAGAAGTCTGGGGACGAGGACTGCGACAGGGCGGAGGACAGTGAACACGAAACCGGGGACGGTAGCGAGAGGATGGACAGTATGCCATCGCCGGTCAACAGAAGCCCGGAAGATCCGGACAGAGAGGAGGGCGATAGTGGAATCGATGCGAACAGCCAGGGCAGCTGTAGTAGCAACGACGTGAAAGCTAGAGAGAAAAAGAAAGAGAAGAAGAAGAAAAAGTCTGTCAATTCTACCAACAGCAGCAATGAGAAGGATACATCTCCGCAGAGATCGCCAAAAACTGTTGGTATGCAGAGCAACACCAACTTGCCACAAAATTCCATTACACCGACCAAGGCTCAGAACAACAACGCGTCGGAAAAGAGAATCATGATCAACGTCGCCAATACCACCGTGCCCGTGTCTACGACGTCTGTCACGATGACTTCTAGGTCTAGTGCGAACGTAAATTGCACCGAGCGTAAACTGAAAGGTCAGTTGGTATTCGAATCGTCGAGACACCCTGCCGATAGAGAGGATTTCGAAGCGACCGGAAACGAGACGTATACTCCGGGTAAAGGGAAAAAATCTTACGTCAATCAGTATGACGGCGATGCGTTGAACACTTCGACGAAGACGAGTAACGCTGCCAGCCCGAAGCAGAACGGCAAGCGCGAAGAAGGCTGGAAAGAAGTAGTGCGAAAAGGACAATCCGACGATTCTGGAAGATTCATGAATTCACCGTTCCGCTCGAAGAAAGTTTCTGTACCACCGAACGCTATTAGCCGCGTAATCGGAAGGGGTGGAAGCAACATAAACGCGATCAGGGGTGCAACGGGGGCGCACATTGAAGTGGAGAAACAGAGCAAGTGTCAGGGCGAACGAATAATCACAATCAAAGGGTCGTCCGACGCGACGAAGCAGGCTCACACGTTGATAGCCGCTCTCATCAAAGATCCCGACGTCGATATACTTCAAATGCTTCCAAAATCAAAGTTGACGGTCGTTACAACTTCCTCCTGGGACAAGACTGTTTCCACGATTGCCTCGAGCAAAGCGAAGTTGGGTCCGATAAGCAAACCGCCGAGTTTGACGTCTAGTTCCAATAGCACGCAGATCAATAAGTCTAATTATACGTCCGGAGTACCCACCGTCAATCAATTGATCCCGCTTCGATCTTCGTCCAGCATCAAACTCGCTGGAGCATTCCCGACACCTTTACCACGCGCGACAGCACCCAGACTCGTAGCCGCAGCCGAGAAACGAGCACAAGCCGTAGCGGCGCAGATGGCTTCGTCGTCGAACACTAAAACAACGATGTCGTATACGAGCGCGATCATGACCGCTGGACGAGCGACGAAAATCGTAACGACGAGCACCACGCAAACGTTTGCAGCCAAGCTGTCCGAAATCACTGCCTCGACGCATACATCCACCACTGTGATGCAATCCACTCACACCACGGTGAACAAGCAAAAATCGTTGCAAGCGAACACGGTGACCGTCGTGTCAGCCACGGCCGCGGCAGTGGCCCAGACCTCGTCTCAGCAACAGTCCGTAGTCACTACATCGCCAAAACACTGCCGACCACTGCCTACTTTGTCTGCCCCGCCAACTATTGTCTCTCACTATTCCGGAAAGTCTACTTATTCCCCCGGCTCGAACCCAGCGGCGATGTCGCCGGCAACGAGCACGGTAGTCGCCTACTGCTCGGAGAACTCCGCCGTTGCTTCGACGTGCACGAATTCGATGTCACGTGTAAGCCCGTCGCCTCCCATAGTTTCGTCGCAATGTCAGCAGCAGCCACAGCACCAACATCAGCAACAGCAGCCACAACCACAGCCACAGTACCAACACCAACAGCCGCAGCAGCAACAACAGCAGCCACAACAGCAGCCACAGCAACATCAACATCAACAACCTCGTAGCTCGACACCCGTTTCGTCGTCGATTCAAGAACAGCAGCAACAGCAACAGCAGCAGCTGCAACAACAACAACAACAACAACAACAACAACAACAACAACAACAGCAGCAGCAGCAGCATCAGCAACAGCAACAGCAGCAAACGAATACGACGCCTCTCGAGTATTCCTTGTTCAATGATAGTTTTACGAAAGTCACTCAGCAGTCGATGTGGGGCGATCGAGAAAACGAATCTCAAAAGGGTATGAATTTCGCGACCGTAGCTGGAGGTGGAGGAGTCTCCGTGAACATATCGGGCTCGACCTCGTCCAAGTTCATAGACAGCGTTCCACCGCAGGTGGACGCCTCGAAGGCTCCCGGATATCGAGGAGCGACGATGTGTTCTCCCGTCTCGAGTAAATCGAACAATACGACAAACACGAACGCGACAGTGGTTAGCATAGGAAGCGGCGTATCGAATTCGGGTCACACACCTATCCAACCGTCACAGTTTCAATCATCTGGAAATTACGGAGAGCCGCATCATCTCTCGAACAAGCCTCCCGGTAGCTTGGCCGTGGCGCGACCGGTAATCCCGCAGCAGAGCATGGAGATGGGTACTGCCATGGGGGCACAGTTCAGCAGGCCGGTGTTTCAAGGGGAATTGACGGGGACACGGAACGCGGCCACGCACGTGAATCAAGCACACGCAATAGCTACATCGCAGACCTTGGACGTGGGTCTGTTCAAAGGAAACAACGTCGGTGGTTACGAGCATCCGAGCGTAAATTCGAGCTTGTTGAAAATGGTGCCGAACGAGGGACAGGCTCATCCTCTTCTACCTTTCCACGCCCATATGCAGAATTTCACGCAAACGATATCGGCGCCATCCGCGTCGGCGAACACGACTGTCAGCATGTCCAGATTGAATCCGAGAGCACCCGATTTCTCCAGTTCCCTGCATCTGAACAGCAAGCCGCAGGTGACGATGTTCAACGCGGCGTCGGCAGCTGCTGCGGCGGCAGCGGCAGCGGCTGGAATGCACCCGAACATGTTCGCCACAGTGCCACCACCTCCTCCGTCCGCGATCCAGACTAACAATCTGGCGATGCTTGGAAATTTTCCTCTAGGAAAGTATCAGGCACCGTCTCGAAACACTCCTGGCAACACCGGTATCTCGGCTAACGGTCAAACTCGCTGGCCGTTCGCTCCGCCGGCGCCCCACAACAATTACCCGCAGCCCCATCAAGATCCGATGATCGGACAGATCGGTTTCTCCAACCACTTAGCGAACATGACCGCGCAATCTGGTAGCATCGACCTGATCACTAGTCTAGAGAACGGCGGTTCGCCGGCTATATCGCCTTCGTCGCCGGCGCAAGTGGCTCAGGAGATGAGCCAGCTGAAGATGGAGGATCGAAAGGTGCCGCGGCCGATCGGTACCGAGCGGGCATGGAAGAATTACGCGACGGCAGGGATGGGACCAGGCGGCGACGCCGATTCCATCAATTGGATGCTGAGCAACGAAAAACTCGTTGGATCTTGGGCGAGCTTGGCGCCGGGAATGGACAGGCATCCGATGTATCGATCTAACGCCACTTACAATCGTATATCCAACGTTGACGCCGAGCTTCATCAGATGATGGAATCCTCTTTTCAGGTAGAATCTTTCGCACGTTCTGCACGCCCGATTTTCTTCTTTGAGAACCCCCCCGAGTTTTCCCGCGCGTTATCTCGCGTCGGACCAACGCATTTTAGAGATTTGATCCGATGTACGTAGGGCCATGTGGATACCCAACAGCAACAGCAGCAGCAACAACAGCAAGCGTCACAACAGCAGCAGCAACAACAGCAAGCGTCGCAGCAGCAGCAACAGCAGCAGCAACAGCAACAGCAGCAGCAACAACAACAGCAGCAACAGCAGCAGCAGGCCTTCCCTAACGGGAGCGCGACTGCTCTCTCGCTGATGCCAGGGCTGACGCTGTTGCCGGGACAATTTGGAACGCCAACATTGACGGAAATTCCTCCTAATAACGAGGGGAACAAAATGGATCCACCAGCGTGGGGAATACCTGACGCCGTGCAAGACAAGCAGCATCCGGTATGGTACACCTTACACTTCTGAATACGTTAAATTCATGATTGAGAATACTCCTTTCCTCTCGTATATGTTATCAGCTGTTCTGCTTTTATACTCGCTGTTGAGAGGGCGAATGTTTAATCAAACGGCGTACGTTATCGGGACGATGGTATCGTTCAACGTTCGTCGAACGGAATCCTCCTTCTTTACAATTAATTCGTTATCGTATTTTCCTTTACTCGTACCGTTAGTTTCTCTTATCCTGTCTTGCGCGTCGAGGTACACGCACTCGGATCGCTACGCGGTTACATCGTAAATGAACCCTTTGATTGCAGGCATGGAATAAGTGGACTCACTAAGACGGAACGAAATAGGTAGAAAGAGAATAAAAAACTGATAGCGAAGGCGGCTCGGCTTTCGCTACCTGGATGATAACGGAATAGAAACCTGGAGCTTGATGTAGTAAATAGATGAAACTGGACCTTGAGGCATTGGTTTTTAGACAATTAAATTACGTCATTTATCCTAATTGTATCAATCGCAACGCAGATACGACTATTATTTGTCACGTTAGTTGATAAGGCGGTAAATTCTTACTACAACTTATTACTATTGCCTAGTGGTAGTACGCGATATAAATAATTACTGAATTCGACGTGAAACGAGAAGATGTTCATAAGGAATGAGAGAAAGATGAAAAAGATGAAAACGAGACGAATGATACGAAGAGAGGGGAAGGTAGTAGTAGGGCAAATGAGAGGAAGGAGGCAACGCGGCGGCGGCAGCAGCAGCAGCAGCAGCAGCAGCAGCAGCAGCAACAGCGTCGACAACGACGACGACGACGACGACGATGATGGAGATGCATAGAGAAAAGAATATTTATCGTTTGTTTTCGATTCGTCTTCGATCATACTTGGGCTACTACGTTACTTACGCGCACTCCTGGATTATTCCCCGACACGATCAACCCTTTTAACGTACGATGCGTTCGAAGATAGTGACACGATACTTCTTCCAATGCAGATCGTCAACGATGGATCGATTTGTCCAAGTTATGGGACTCAAACTCTACGATATTTGATAGACATTCGTTATAATAATAAATTCAAATGCGCATATGATAATTACATCAGCTTTCGCTTCACCCGTAGCAGTACTTCTCGAATTAGATCCTCACGTACCCCCTTTTTCTGTTCCTTCAATTTCGTGTATCGAATTAAAAGAGAAAAATGAAAAAAAAAATACTTCGTTTTAATTGTTCTACGTGCGTGCGAAAAACGAAGGCTTCGATTTGCCACGGGGTAAACTAAATGATAAATGTTATATTAATTAAGCGATTCGTAATAACAACAAAAGAAACAATAATATTAATAACAATGATAATATTAACAACAACAATAATAATAATAATTATAATAATAATATTGTCGTATCAAAGTGAAGGAGGAATAGTTATTTTTGTGTTTTATTGGGTTGGGTGATGCGTGTACATATGTTAGGACACCTCGCTTTATACGTAGAACGAAATACTGAGGAACCCAGAAAGTCGACTCCGGTTACCGAACATCTGGTGAATCGGTCATCTTTTTCTTTCCCTTGTTGCTTCGTCGCATCGTGCTCCTCCCTCGATCGAACACATTTACCGTTCATTCATCTGTTATTCTTCCCTCGAAGGTACGACGTCCACGGACGTATGCATACCTGCGTTGACTCGATACCGGTATCTGTGACACGTTGCTTTCTCATCTCATACGTTCTTTCTTATTCTTTGAATTAGAGTCACCGAGGGGACCGAAAACAAAACTGGCATAGACTCGCGCAGATAGCGTGAAACCCGGAGCAAAAAGGAACAAAAGGAAAAGAGATGTAAAGCGCGCATTAGATGCACACACATGCAAACGGCTTCTCGAGAAATGTAAAACACTGGCTCTTGGATAAACAGACTTGGACACAACTCTTCCACATGAGAGAAGAGAAAACTGAGTATAAAAGAAGAATCGATACCGATATGGGATTAGTATTGTGCGACGTGAGCGAAGATGTAGCGATGACTACGCATAGGATAGTTAGCACGTATTCGTAACGAAAGAATCCTATCGAGAAAGGAACGAATTGTTGATCGTATTAATCAGGTAGCGCGGGACCGCCGTAACTTCGCGTAAAATACACACGTAACGTTTGTGCGTCCCTAGGAAACAGTACTATTATAATACAAACTATTATTGCTGTGGTGGTAATAATGTTTATTAATTATTATCTTATTATAAATAACACTGGAAAACCTACTTATAGGAAAATGGAAGGCAAATAGGAAAACGTACGTCGGTCTTTCGGTTGAGACACGCTATACACGAGTACGATATAAGTACATACAATAAAAGATGTTCTATTAGTTGAACCACGCTCGATTCTCTAGAAGTACATAGGTCAGACAAATGTTCATTTCGGTTGAACGTTTAAAGACGGGTTTCTTGGCGGGGAGTTTGTCGACAAGTGTTCAAACACGTACGTATATCCATACAGCGGCGACGATGACGACGACGACGACGACGACGACCAGGACGGTAACCTTATCGTCCGTCGTCTAACGTTTATCGCTTATCGCTTTATCGTTATCATTATTGGGAAGGTCCTCCGCTATATGTATGTATACATATATATGTAGGTATGTATGCGAGCAGAGGCAGAGGCGCGAGATAACGTAAGGAGGCGCGTAAAGAAAGAGCTGTTGCGAATATAATCGCGGGAGCACTTCGATGATTATTGTCTAACGATAAGAACACGTTGTTATAATAATTTAAAGCCTATTTTCGAATTTGATTTATGAAAATTGCGATATACGACACACAGAACTATTATGTGACATGCAACAGTAAGGTAAATAAATGGCAAGTAAAGAAACGATCGTGAATCTTGCCTATTGCATACATCTGTGTACTTCGATCGTCAGTCTTTGCGATCGATGGATGCACCCCGCGTCGTACCCATCATTTAGTAATACCTTTTTGCTCTGTCAATTCCTCTTTTACGCTCTCTACGTGTATACACGATCCGGTAAATTCTGTTTCAAATCGACAGTTTGTATAGTTCGTATCGTAGCTCGGATGAAGATCGGTCATCTCACTTGGCGGTACCTCTATCGCTTCGGATCCAAGTTCAACGGGAACGGAGCGATACTGGGCATACAGGGTGTTTGCGAAATCGTGGTACAACCGGCAAGGGGATGATTCCTCACGTAAGACCTAATCGAGAACCAGTCAAAATTTTTACCGCTTAGGGATCCCACTGGTCTCAATCCACCGCTGTAGATATGCCTCAAATTACGTCTGAGACATAACTACAGGTTTTCTACAAACTAAGTTGAAAACTGATGATATGAGTCGAGAACCCATCACTGGTGAGGAATCATCCCCTTGCCGGTTGTACCACGATTTCGCAAACACCCTGTATGTACGTGTATAATTACCTTTGCTCTACATTCGGTCGGAAAGGATAATGCGTCGGAAAAAAATAGTCTCACGGTCATTTTATTACCATAGAAAAGTGTTTAATTTAAAGGAAACAAACTTACACTTTAATAATACCAAAGAAACGCAAAACTTGCAACGTTTTCAATATACATACGTACACACATCATACATACATATAAAGGACATTCCTATGGTCATTCGCTCTGTATTACGTAAATAACAAATTGTAAAAAGAAACGAATGCGTGTGCCTCTCGCGTAATCTCGTGTCGACTAAACGGTGAAGTGAGCGAAGATTATTCCAAACGAAACAGATGCGACTGTAAATATGTGTATATGTAATACGCGCTGGCCGACGATCGATGAATCAACGCATCATCATCGAGAATTATTCTAACGCGATCGTTAACGTTGACATTCTGGAAGAAATCCGTCGTTATGATCGGCGATTAAACGTATAGATAGATATTCGACGAGGAAAAGGAAAGGGAAGCAAGCGAGCAACCAAGCGATTTGTCTTCGAATTCATAGTTCAGCCGACACGATCGATACCCATGATTCTCATCTACAAATAATAATAAATATTTACAAACGTCGTATTCATACAAAAAGTCAGTATATATAGAAAAGAAAAAGTAATCGTGATTGTCAAACGTTTTCTGAATCGGAATCGATCGACGATAAATGCGATAATTTTTACTTCGTCCGACGCGGTATGGATCTACACATCGCTTTCGTCCCCCGTTGCTTAACTTCGTTTTTCAAGTAGCTAGAACCTAACATAAATAAATGCTTAAACGTGGATTATTATGCTAGAATCTAGAATGAACGAGTAAGAGACGAAACGAAAACCAAGAAGAGTACGTCCGTACGGCATTGTAGAGATAAAAAGGGGGAGGAGAGAGAGAGAGAGAGACATCGAGTTCGAAACTTACGGGAAACGTTTATAGCGCCCATTCGAATCGACTTTCTATGCACATTTAATACAACACACGATTCGTTCAACATTTTTCTTTCGAATACGAAGCGCGTACACGTCTACATACAAATAGCATACATGCTTTTTAAATTTATCTGTACGTTTCCGTTTCGCGACTGTCCGTTCGTCTGCTCGCAATTCCGATGCACCCTCCCCGTTTAAAACTGTTACCTATCATTTGCTACGCGCGCGTACATCTATTCTCTTATATTTTAGCTTATCGTTATGCAAATTCATTTACCATGATGAATCGTGAAATAATTGAAGACGAACTCTTGAATCTTGGTGTCTCTTTTGTGCTCAACGAGAATCAAGGACGAAGCTATCGTACCTTCGAATAGTTTCCCTGGAACATCTTTCGCCTATGTTTCACTAATGAAAAATAAATCTTTGTACAACGCGTTGGAAGTATGTTCAACGTATCTCGAATAATTTATGTTACCGGTAGTAGATTCACACAATCGAAATGCACACGAGGAGAATATCGGTCCTTAAGTACTCGCTTGCTCACACAGAGGGACACGTGACACAACGATCGACACACGGCTTCTCGAAAATCGTCGCAATGTCTGTCCCCTGCGATCGCGTTCTGTTCTTCTCTCTCTCTCTCTCTATCTCTCTCTCTCTCTCTCTCTCCTGTCCATTCTACTTTTACATCCCGTTTCTACCTTGTCCCCTCGATAGAAAAATATCATACAAGCTACCCGAAACGTTGCTTTGTACATTCACCCGTGCTCCAATGAACAGAAATCAAGCTCTAGCCTAGCGAATCTAAAGACAGAACTCGGTCTCGAGAATTGAATCCTGCAGTCGGAAATCGATCAAACTTAAAACTGTAAACTACGTCTACGGTTGCCATGGGTGTTTTCGCCACCGCTCTCTGTCTTCCCACTCTCGTCTTCTCTCCCTCGCACAATGATCACGTTACAAGGAGCACCTTTCTATAATAGTGTATTCGTTTAAAAAATATTCTATCGTTATACTATACAGAAAACGTACAAGCGCACGCGAACGTATGTACTCAGTATTCACTCGTTCCTCGCGTGCCTCGCTAAGTATATGACTAATACTTATGTCTGCCCACCGTTCGCACTATCCGTAAACGTTGAATATGATCACTTGCGTAGAGGAGAACAGAGGGCTGTTCGTCCACCAAAGACACGACGACGGACACTTTTACATAATCTTTATCTGACTCGCACAATAATTTACAAAATATAAATAATCACTACTGATACACGGTAATTCCATAGCGGTTATTCAACAGCGAGAAGACTAATGGCAACGTCACGTCGCACTAATAGACGCCGTGTACGAGTTAAATAACGTTTAAGCGAAGGTACTTCTTGCTCGAACTATTCCAAAACAAATATGCGCTAAATACCGATATACGTAGTAGTCGGAATCGTCTTTCTCACGCGTTTCGTTTCTCGCTAGAGGAACGGTTCGCCGTCTCCTGCTACACACGCATATATGTATACCACCTCCCCCGTTCAGACGAATTCTTTAAATACTTTATACAAAAACTCGTAGTCTACACGCGCGAGTAGCACGTGCACAAATATGTACAAACACGTATCTGTAAAATATTCTAAATCAGAGAGGATTCGTTCGTCACGAATTCGTACCGAACCGGACATCTCTGTCTCACGTCCGCGCCAAGCATATATATATATATATATATATTACTCTTATTTACCCCGCGTACATAGAGTATTCCTCGTTTCTCTCGAGAATACACGCGTACCCTGATAAACTATAACTTATTTCTTTCGTCATTCTACGATTGCACATGTTTAATATTTATCGTCTAGTCGTTGCCTCGAAACTCGGGAACGCTTACGAATCGCATGATCGAATCTGAGTAACTGTAGACGGAAAAGAAGAAGGGGGAAGAGTGAAAAACGGAATGAATGGGAGATAGAGAACGTTAAATATACAAGTTGAGAAAAGAAAGGCGGAACGTTAAATATACACGTTGAGAGGTTATTTACAGATGATTATCGCGGCTGCATCATGGATGGTCTCACTTTCCTGATCGTGCCACGATCGTGCCGTTCAAACGATGACGAGCGCTCGCGTGGCATCTCGCCCGTTCGTAAAATTTCGATAATCGCGAGGCTCGTTAAACGCGTTAAACCGAACTCGCTCGTCTCGAGGAAAGATTTACGATTTGACCGAGACGAAAACTGGAACGATCGCTACGATTCTCAAACATACAGGGTAGAAAACGTAGAATCGTAGCAAAGTTCCAACGTGTTTCGCGTTTGATCTCACGACTCGTAAACTGTTTCACTCATTGTCAAAAGGTAATCACGAATACCACGCACGCGACCATACCTAACGGTGACAATTGCACTGTAAGCCGTTCCATCGTAATTAAATGCAACTTACTTTTAAGCTCCTACGTTTCCGATCCGCGTACGCACAGTTCATCCGGCGAAAACGTGAAAACGTTTGTAAAACTTCCTCGTCCCGCACGGAAGTCTCATTGCTCTCGTTCGTCTTTCCCCGTATCGAATTCTCTCGCCAATTCGAACTCGACTCCTCCCTCCTTCCCTCGTGATCGTAACGTTTGTCTTCGTTCCGTCTCCAGCTTCTTTTCACTAGCCACCGTCCACGACTCTTCTCTCATTTCATCTGACACGCGCCTTTCCTCGCATCTCTCAACTCCTTTGAGTTCAGCCTTCTTCTCCTCGTGCTCTTCCTCCATCGCTTCCTCTTTATCCTCACCTTTCTGCGTCGCTACCGGCGACTCTTCCTCGTCTTCCTCATCTTCCTCTTCATCGTCTTCATCTTCTTCTTCATCCTCCTCTTCGTCTTCTTCGTCTTCCTCTTCCACGGACGACGAGTCGCTGTCGCTGTCCGAACTTTCAGAATTTATCGAGAACGAGCAATGATCATATTCCTCGGAATCCGAATAAACTTCGGCACCGGGAAATATGTACTTGCCAGGCGACAGTTGATAATAAGTATTTTCTGGTAATCTCGCAGCGAGACTCTTACGTATTTTTGATTGCCAACAGTGTCGATTCAGTCTCGTACTCGTCAACTCTTCTTTGCTAGATTTGCCGTCCCGACTGTCTACGCTGTTACAGCTGTCCCCTATCCCGGAGTCCAAAGCGGAGTCGACGGATGCTTGTCTCGGCTTGAAATTCGTTTTCTCCACTTCGATCTCGATGGAATTTCCTGATCCGTCTTCGTTCAAGGACGACGACGTCGCCGCCGCTGTTCTATACGTGTCTTCTGCGTTCGAACGATCCGGTTTTAAGTCGGCGTGAGGCAACGTGTTCGCCGAAGTTATTTCGATCGATCTTGGAAACGTATGACACTCCTCTAAGCAATAAATTCTTCCAGTATCTTTCGACGTAGACTCCGTCGTACGGACTTTGCCGTCGTTCGCGGACTGGTGTCTCGTTTCCGGGACAGGTTCCGTTTTCGGAGAGTACAGACTAAAATTCAGTGTGTAGTTACTGTTCCCGAAATTCATTCTCTTCGGGCTGCTTTCCGCGCTCGACTTGCCCAGCCTTCTCTTCGGACTCTCTCCCGAAATGTGCAACTTTTCCGCGTTACTACTCGCGCAGATTCCGTTACCAAAGGAAGACAAACGCACGCTCTCCTCCAGGCGTCGTTCGAACGCGTTACCGTCCACGTTATCGCGAGCCTTGCGACTTCGACTCTCGGCGGAACACGGATCGTTCGGCGAGCACGGTTTACCATCAGTCTCCATCACGTTCTTGTTCCACGATGTTCCGTCCTGACTCTGTTCCCAAGTATCGTCCGTCAAGCAACGCACCGGTAACAACTGCGTCGCTTCTTTGAGGATCGCATCGTTCCAACACACTTCCTTGTAGCTGTCCTCCATTCTTTGGAAGAACAAAGAAGAGCAGACAGCGATTAGGACCACGTTACGTTGGCATTTAACGTCCAGTACATCGATTACTTACAAGTGGCAGAGCTGATTTATGATAACGTCACCGTCCCCTAACAGCTCGACGTCGAACTTGAGATGCGGCAACGACTCGCGATTGATCAGGATCTGTGGAACGTGAGACGGAATGGAGGAAGGTATCAGTGCCACCGGTCGAACCTTTAACGACGACCCGATCACGATCAAGAGGTCGCACTCGTCTTTGTCTTTGGCCATCGCGTCGTGAAAGGCATCTGGCAATCCTTCGCCGAAGAAAACGATGTCTGGTTTCATTATCCCTTGTGTCACCAGCTCTGTACGTGTTCAAACGATTCGGAACGATTAATGATAAGATAAGAAGCGAATCGATAGACGCGGTTCAAAAGATAGACGATCCGCGTTTCAATTATTACCTTTGTAACTGTCGTTGAGATCGATCCCCGATGCAGGAGGAAGAACGTTGATTCGACACTTGGGACACGAAGGTATCCTCTGGGCGAATATATCCTCCCTGATATCGTCAGCTTTCACTTGGTATTTACATCTGGTACACGACGCGGTTGCGAACGAACCTGAAGTTCGATCGGGATTCAATGATTCTGCTTAAAACTAAATTCCCTCTCCCGGTCCGACTTACCGTGGCATTCGATCACGTTCTCAATGCCCGCCACTTGTTCCAGCGTGTCGATGTTCTGCGAATAATTCCTGAGCAGCTTCTTCTGCTTGTCCAGCATTTTGATGAACCTGTGACAAGGGCTGGGCTTGAATTGTCCGGGATAAATTTCTCGCGCGAACTTGAAGAATGGTCTTGGATCCTGACCGAAGTAATTGATGTCGAACATCGCCTACGAAGAGAAAGTGGCAAAAGGTAATGGAGGGAGTCAAAGCGTACGATCGTACGGGAATAGAATGACACGAGTCTCATAGTTCGTTTCCTTACCTGTGGATCTGGTAAGTCCGGAAAATCTTGAGCCAATCTAGAATAAATACCGTCTCTACTTCGAAAATCAGGAATTCCGCAACTGACGCTCACACCTGCTCCCGTCAAAACGATGATTCTGTTACTGTTCCGTATCAATCTGACGACGTCGGTCAAGGTGTTTACGTGTCTCAGTTTCTGACGTCGCGGTGGTTCCGACATCATGTTTATTATGATCTGCGATTCAGTGGAATGGAATAATTAGTAAGCTGTGATTTTTATCACTGGCGAGACAGAGTGAATACGGCGTTGTGTGCGAACCTTCCAAAGAGTCAGATCGTCGACTTGTTCCGGGATCTGAGTAGAATCCATGAGAAGGTGATGCAGAAGATCTCTAGGATCGGCACCGGTCAACATTTGTTTCTGAACCCAGGATGAAGCGTTCCTCCACTGATGACCGATGTCCCCGCCTTCGCCAGAAAAGTCGGAAAAGCCCGACAGGTCGGACAGATTCGAAACCGTGGACGACACCTCATCCTTCTCGTCAGTAGTGTCGATCCTGTGCCGATCGCAAACGAACATTGAGCGGGAACTTCGGGACAGAGTCTCGGTCGTCAATTAAAATCGAAGGGAGACTCACGGACAACCGGTGTCGTCACTGGTGGAGTCGATCCTCGATGGAATTGGCATTAAATTCGTATTTTCCGGGGAAACAGAAGCCGATTTCGATTCGTCGCTTAATTCGTTAAAACCGCTGTCTCCTCCGTAAGTCTCTACAATAAATTAATCGTCCGATGTACATATTTATTCGTCACAGGGAATGAAACATCCAGCTACTATTCAAAATTAAGATTCGTACCGTTTCTTTTGAACGTAGTATAACTGATCGAATGATTCGTCTGACGAGAAAATGAATGATTCATTGCAATAAATAGACAATGGTCCAACATTTTTGAAATTGGTGGGATCCTTATTGAACTTAAAGAGATCACGATAGATATGTATTTGTATTCTATGTGCACGCATAGACAGTGATAAACACATAGCTATCGTTATATCTCAGTTATGTGCGTAGCGTACGTATGTACAAGACGGATAAGTGTACGTATGTGTTCACAGGGTCTTAATGAAGATCATGCCATCTGTGAACGTCCATCGGATGTACCCTGCGTAACGCGTAACGTCGTATACATGCTACGTACGTGGTACGCAGGTCGCAGGTATTTATCTGTATGTATTTGGCATATGTGCAGATATCGCGTACGGTATAGAGAGTAGTACCGATTTCTGTTTTTTCTCCATGAATCCGTGAAACTAGTATACGAGAAGAGAAGAATATATGTACGTATCAGGGTGACAGTTTGAAACAAGTCGATTCGAAAATAATTTTATTGAGTTCGAACAAAAAATTGGATGACATTCGGAATTTTTGGCTCAACGTGATTCGACGGGCAAGCTACGAAGTAGCCAAGCATTAAGGCGTGACACGTAAATATTCAAAGCATACACGGAAACTGTCATGGCGGCTCTGGTCATCCTCCATCAACTAGGAACGAACAAACGAACGATAACCACCGCAACCACGCAAGACGAGCGGGCGCCTCCGCGACCGCCATCTTGCAATCTGGTAAATTTCATTAACGGATCGAGCGGATTTTTGTGAAAATACCTTCGAGATCTTCGTTCGGGGTGTCACGCGACGTCTCGCAGTCTTGGAAATCAGGTTTCGCACTGCTGGTACCATCGTAACCGATGCCGTCGACTTTTCGTCGTTTTGCTGGGGACGAATATTCTGGCACCTCCGAGCCCGACGCCATTTTCCACAGCAATGCAATATACACAGTTTGATGCGCACCCGTTGCCACGACCGGGGTCGCTACTCTACATAATCGCTACGCCTCCCTCCTTCCGCGTCAATGATCTATAGATTATGGATCACCGCAGACGCCGACCGTTCCGTGTCCGCGTCATTGTTGGTCATTGTCAGTGGCAGAATGGCAATTATGGCAGGTAATAAACTACTTAGACCCAAGTTTCAACAAGAAATTCAGTTGACCACACGAAAAAGGGACACTTGATTTTAAAGAGGATCCCAACGTTACCAAGGTATTTATTTGTGTTAATTTACGACGTCCATATATAATACCTTACTAAATTCAAATAAATGCTTTCGCTCTTGTTTGAATTTCGAATAATTTCAAATCATTTGCTTGTGAAAAGCATTTCTACAATATACTGATATATACAAAAGTTTGAACAGGCCAGTCTGACCTGGCAGAGACAAATGTGATTAATAATCGTCATTGAAGAAATGTGGAAGAAATTAAGAAGTAATCATGCTAGATCAGAGGTGAGACACTTTATTCGTACATTTTTTAATTGCTTTCATTTTATAGCTGCATTTTTTAATTGTGACAGAATTCTGCAGGCGAGGTTACTGGACGAGGCGGAAATAATGAAAATGAAGCGTTGCCGGAAACTGATAAAAATAATATTAAATAGTATTAAATAATTCCAGAACGAGCGCTGGTACGATCAATAGGAAATTGAATTTCACGAACGGAGGCGAATTGCCGTGACGAAAATGCAAATAGCGAAGTATAGATGCGCGTGCGCGCGTCAAATAAATTTTCTCTTTAAATAGACATTAGATTTTTTAACTCTGTAACTTGTTTAAAAGTGAAATAAAGGTCTTGTTAAACATGCATATTATTGTCTACTCAATCACCCAGTCAACTACTAGAATAATGGACACCGATTATCCTTGATGAAAACTGTGACTCGAAATAATAGTCGTGGCCACTATTAAATTAGTCGTATAAGTACATTAAATTTTGCTAACTGTGTAAAAGGAGAACATGAGGAGATAGGAAGTGGTACTAATTCTTGCTGTGATTTCCAAGAACGTCTAAAATTTCTATCCCATCTTATTTGTACTTGTGCTAAGTAAGTGAAAATGACATGAAGAAATCTCGGAAAAATTTTCTTCTATCTCGAGTACTTCAGTAGTAATCAAGTAAAAACGAATTTCATAGGAATTTTATTTAACCTTACGACTTCTTACGTAATACAGACTATTGCTTTAACTACCAGGATAGTCGAGAGAAAGAGAATGTTGGTAAAACTTTACTCGAGACGATTGATATACAATAAATAAGAGAATTGGACTAGTAGACTTATATAAATTGTATTACTATACATATATACTAGAAATGTATATGCTTATCTATAAGAACATATAAGTATAATACAGTAAATGTAAGGCCATGCTCGAAAGATCGAATATGGTATTACGTACACAATTGTGCGTGCTCATAGAAGTATATATTATCAGAGACTGTTGCGTCGTGTATTCACAAAGGAGTACCGAAACTTTTCAATCACCATTGGTCGTTGGGAGGTGAATCGTTGCGACGGAGAGACATAGAACACTGGTGGACGTGCGTAAGATGATAGAGAAGAGACGACGAGATGACAGAACGACGATAGAGCGAAGAGCAAAGGGAATTTATCTGTCGCATTTAGTATTGTCGGTTGGGCATGTCGGAATGTATACCGGTAACGATGAGCCGTCACAGTAGCCGTAATACTGTTGCGTTTGTAGATGAGATTGAGTATGAGGCGAGAGCGTGAGGGTGTGCATGAAGGGTAGACCCTGCGGTGACTGGACGAATGGCACCATTTGAAGAGGCATGGTAGGTAGAGGAGACGCGATTGCGTTTCCTCGGTCCAGAGTAGATCCGTTATACGATCCGAGATTCATCTTTCCGGAATAAGCGCTGGCCGGTCTGATCATCGAGACATCGGGGATACTGCTCGCGGCGACAGCAGCAGCCAAATGCGCTTGATCGATCGGACTGGAGGAGCATCTGAAACGGCAGATGCAGATCATGATCACGATCAACGCTATGAACGCGACGACGCCACCGACGATTCCGATGATCAAAGTGTCGTCCGTGCCGGAAGCCGTCGACGACGAGCCGCGATCGCCACGGTCGCCGAGCACGCCGCCGTTTATGCCGTTCAAATGTTTGTTCCGATCTGCATTTTGAACCGCAGGTGCCACCGTCCAGATGATCTCTGGCTCGGAGAACGAGGTCGATCCGAGAGAGGAAGAGAAGGGAGAAGACGAAGAAGCCGTCGAAGAAACAGTGGGATCAGCAGCAACGTCGTCGGGGAGCTCTTCGACGGAGACGTCGTTGCAGAGTAGCCGATGTTCGGGCAACTCGATGAGTTCGGAACCAGCCAAGCGAGGTGGACTGGAACAGACCGGTAGGTTCGACGGATCGACGGGAGCGACCATTGATTTCAGCCACTTGTAGAGTCGTCTTACCTCGCAAGTACAATCGATCGGATTGTAACGAAGACCTTTGATCGCGACGAGCCCGGTACGTTCGTCGAGCGCGGCGAGGAACTGGTTGGACAACGTAGTCAACTTGCTACCGGATACGTCCAGTTCGAAATAGGTGGATCGGGGTACTGGGAAGAAGAGCGCGGCCGGTATCGAGTCGACGGAAGTGTTCTTCAGACCGAAGGACAGCCTGGACCCTCGAAAGCCGACGAGAGAGCTCGACAGCACAGTCCTCAGCCTCTCCCCTCGCAGAGTCACTCGATTCAAACGAGGATGCGCGCGCAATGATAGTTGCTCATTGCTCACGGACGAATCCTTGATCTCGATGTCCAATGTCTCCAGCGAGTTCATTCCTTTTAGGATACCCTGAACGTCGAAGTAGCCCAGCTTCGGGTAATCGTACGCGGACAGTGAGCGAAGCTTGGCGAACGGTTTGAAAGCGTTCCTCTCGATCCTTGTACAGTTCGGCAGGTCGGCCATCCTGAGAGTACGCAGTCCGGTCAATCGGTCGAAACACGTCTCGTTGACGATTTTCACGTGATTGCCGGAAACGTCTAACCAGCGAAGAGCCGGTAGCGCTTGGAATGCTCGATTCGCGTTCTGAAGATCCGCTAGTCCATTCCTAGAAACGTCCAACGTCTCCAGCATGGTGGTGCGTTCGAAGATCTTCGCATCTAAATCCAGCAGATTGTTCCCGGACAAGTTCAGGTTCTTGAGGAAAGGTGTTTCGAGCCTGACGACCAACCGTTCCATTTTTACTCCGGTATCGGCCAGATTCAACGTACGAAGAATCTTTGCTTCTCCCAAAATAGCGCTGATCGCATTCTCGCTGAGAGGATTGCCCGAAAGATCGAGTTCCTTCACGTTGCTCGTCACCACTTGGCTCGTAGTAGTGAGTTCGGTTATCCTGTTTCGCGCAAGGTTCAAGCCGACGAGGGAGGCGGTCTGTCGCTGGAGAGACCTGCTCGGAATTTCGTTCAACAGATTCCCGGAGAGATCGATCCTCTCGACGGAGCGGACTCTGCTCGGATCGAAGATCGTCTCCGGCAAAGAGGTCAGCCGATTTTCTCGGAGATCGAGACGTTCAAGGCGCAGTAGACCCTCCATCGTCCTTTCGCCGAGCGCCTCGATGTCGTTTTCGGAGAGATCGATCGACTGTAGCTGCGTAGAATTATGGAAAGCGAGCTCCTCGACCGACTCGATTCGATTTCCGGCGAGATTCAACGTCCGAAGCCGACCTAGCTGAGAGAACGCGAACTCGGCGACACGTTTTAGCCCGTTGCCAGATAAGTCGAGTCGCTCGAGAAACTGCAACGGTTTCACGTGGTCGCTGGGAAAGTAGAGAAATCTATTGTCGGAGAGATCGAGCGATCGCAGTCTCGGATGGACCGCGAAAGCCGTTGGCGACACCCGATCTATTTGGTTCGACGAGAGGTCGAGGATCTCGAGACCCGTCCCGGTGTCGAAGTACTCGCCGGCGAACGATTTTAGCTGGTTGGCTCGTAAATTCAACTCGTACAGGCCGGTCAAACCGACGAACGCCGCGTTCGAGATCGACTCGATGCGGTTCCCAGATAAATTGATCCTCGAGAGATTCTCGAGCCGATCGAACGTGCCTTCCTCGATCCTTTCCAGCCGGTTGTCCGCGAGCGATATCCTCTCGAGCGACTCCAGATTCCGTAGCAAGATAGCCGGTAGAACGTTCAAGTCAGTCCGCGAGACGTCGAGGTCGACCACGGACGAGGGAAACACCGGTGGGAAACCGCCGAAGAGAGGATTCGAACTGAGGTTCAAATATCTGACGTTCTTCAAATGTTCGAACGTTTCAGGTGGGATTCTCGTCAATCGGTTACCCGCGAGATTCAGAGAGATCAGTCGCTTTAACGGCAGCCCGCCGATCGTAGCCAGCTTGTTCGAAGACACGTCCAGTTCTAGCAGCGTCTCCTCCAGGCCGAGGAATGAGTCCCGCGTGAGCCTCGTCAACGCGTTTCCGGATAACTCTACTCTGACCAGCCTCTCGAATTCCTGGAACAACCCGGGCGGTATTTCGCGAATCAGGTTCCGCGCGAGTGCCAACGTCGCGAGGTTCGACGCGATCGCTTCGATCGACTCGATCGGAAGCGCCGCGATCCGATTGAATTCCATGCGAAGATGAGTCAGGGACGGCAGCCTGGTCAGGGCCGTCGTCGGTACCAGCAGGATGTTGTTGTCTCGTAACGAGAGCCACTTCAACTTGTTCAGACCATCGAACGACGATTCCTCGATCTACGGTAACGATACGATGAACGATCCGAACAAAAGAGCCGGACTGATCGTCGAAGTAAGCCTACGCTCTCTGTACGTACCGTGCGTAACGCGTTCAAACTTAAATCGAGCCTGGTCAGTTCGGTCAGCCGCGAGAACGCGTTCACGCCTAACCGACCGATGTCGTTCCGACTGAGGTCCAATACTTGGAGCTCTTTCAGAGTCGACAAGTGAGTTTGCTCGATCTCCTAAAATCGACAAAACGATCAAGCCACGGAAGGTACACCGGGACGCGTCGGGACGTACTTACGCCGATCAAGTTGTTCGAAATATTGAGAAATTTCAGATCTGTCAAATGTCTCAACGCACTGACAGGGAACTCTTGGAGTAAGTTACTCGACAGGTCCAACTGCAACAAGTTGTAAGCCCCTGAAACGATGCGATCACAATCGTTAGAATCGACGTCGCGTATCACCGAGGCAGGCAGAAACCGCGTTTCGTTCGTTCAACAAGTTCCACACCTTTGAAGACGTCGCTGTTGAAACGGACGAGATCGTTGCGGGAGAGGTTCAGCAGGAGCAACTGATCGAGGCCCGAGAGAGCACCGTCTTCCATGTGAGACAATTCATTCGCGCTCAGATCTAGCCGCAACAGCGATTCGCCTATCATCGAGAGAGCGGCTCGTGGAAGCGATCCTGCAACAGCAACGTCTCGGTTGAACGCGTCCAACTATTTACACGTACGTACATAATTCGTTTCGTTTAATTTACGCTCCGCTAACCGATATTATTCCCGGACAGCGAGACCACCCTGATCGACCTGGGTCCTTTCAGAGACGCCGTCGGCACGACGGTCAGATGGTTACCATCCAAGTAAAGCAGTTCGAGGTTCTCGCATCCCTTCAAGATCCCCTCCTCTATACTCCGCAATCCGTTTCTGGACAAATCGAGCAGCCTGAGCTGTTTCATACCGTGGAACTCGTTACTGGAAAATATGGGATTCAAACTGTCCCCCAGAAGATTATCCGCGAGCCTCAGCTCTTCGAGTTGATCCTGTGCACCGAGAAGTCTGCCCATCAGTCTGTGAATCGAATTACCCGACAAATCGAGCTTTCGCAGACTCAAACCGGAATCGAGCAGGTCTTCCGGCAGACTCTGATATCCGCTATTCCTCTGGCTGATGGAAACGATCGGCTGGCCTCGCATACTTTCGACGGTGTCTCTCGTGAACACCGCCCGATCGCAGTTCATCTCGATCGAGCGGCTGTACTCCGTAGAGATCGAGCACCTGCACGGTAAGTGCAAGTCCCGTTTCAGCTCGACGCACGGTATCCATCCCGCTCCCGCTTCCCACGACGGGGCGACGTTCGAAAGCGAGCATACGATCAGCGTCAAATGCCACCTAGAAACGAACGCGGGACCAGTCATTCTCGTTCGAGAAACTCCACCCACTCCTCTCCTCTCTTCGCGCCGGCGGTGGTCATCCGGGAGAAAAAAGCGAACCGAACGAAAGATCGAGGATAGGAACTCGCGTAACGGTTTCCTCTGTCTTAACTTTGTCTCGAACTTTTACCGAACAACGTTGGCGATTAATTTCGACCCTCGACGAGACGATCGGTAATCGTTCACGTGTCCGATGTCTCGACACCCCTGGAACAAGTCGCGTGACGATCGAAACGAGTCCGTCAAATATGATCGCCGAGTACGAACAAATTCCGCGTTTCCGTGGTACCCGATCAACGTGTCTCGCGTGACATACTTTTTCATCCGCTCGCTTTTACTCGCTTTTACTCGTTTCCTTTCGGAAAAAAAGGAACAGATACCCGCCTCCTTCTCTTACCCGCGACAAGCAACTTACGCTCTTCTCATGTTCCCTGTTTTGCCTTACTCGTTCGAGCGTGACATCACCGTTCGTACAAATTTGACGGCTCGACACCTGTTGAATCGCCGAAAATTATTGTCCCGGATCACCGGTCGATTCACTAATAGCTTTCCTAAACTCACACTTTTGGATTCGAGATCGGTCACCAAGTGACTCGATACATATCGCTTCTCGTCGCTCGTTTTATTTCGACGATCTCTCGGGAATTCCGACACACTCGCCCTACGTCGCTTCTCTCTATCTCTTCGAGATTCGCGCACTCGACGATACCAACGATTGAGAGACGCTCAAAGGGAACGGAAAACTCTGAACTCTGAGAACTATGTTCGGTATCGATTACACAGGAACCAAGAATGAAGTCGAGATCGCGAAAGAACGGCAGCGGAGGATGGAGTGTTCGCTGATATTCGCGGACGCACAGGTAACGGGGCACGTCCTCGCAACTTTACTTATGTAGGTATACTCTGCAGTGGAGAATGAGAAACCGCCTCGACTCACGATTCTCCCAGGTAGGGGAAACGGTAAAAACCCGTGCCCGTGGCCCGTATGGAGGGTACGCGATCGCGATACATGGCTTTCCGCGTGCATGTAGATACGCGCTGGTCGCGGCAGGTACGGGCATGCATATGTATGCGATACGCGCCACACGCAGCCTGAGAAAAGAACGCGCGACGCGGATCGAACGTATGTATGCGAGGACGTAGGAATGTTTGTCGAGCAACCTTTCACTAACATCGCATCCCGTTCGTTGCCTAAACCGTTACGGTATATACTTAAATATAGATACTTACACACGAACATTTTATCCGCGAATGAAATTTAAAATCGCACCGCTCTACCTTTCTCTCGACTCCTGACTCTTGAATCAACAGATATCTTTCGCTTTCTACGCGTACCATGAACCCGACTGTTCCATTCAATTTTAAATATAATACTATAATTCTAAATTATAATGTCTGTAATCTGTAGCTGCAATGTAGTCCGTACGAAATATCGAACGTGAATGTAAGTAAATAGATGATTCAAAGTATGATCTAAAAGGAGTCCCACCACCAATTCAGGCGCCAGCCGCAGCCTCCATGCACGCACGCCAGTCAGTTCAGTTTGTTGTTGTCAGTTGAGCCAGAAGTGCATACAGCTTTGTCTTTTATTTTAATTAGTTAAATAGTGAAAGATGTTAGCGATGATAACTGCCGACTGGTTTCCCTTCGGTCGGGACGTATATTTCAGGTAAACGATACTGTGAGGTTAACCGATCGTAATTACTGTCAGATGCATTCGTGATATCGATTTGTAAAATGTATCCACGTACAGGAAGTTTGAACTCTATCCGTTGTCCTTCCAACACGAAGTTTCGAACAACAATTTATTGGTAGCAGCTCCTTACGGTGGCTCTATCGCCGTTACTAGAAATCCTAACAAGTTGGTCAAAGTTCAGGGATCGAACAAACCTGTGATATATTTGTACACTTCTTCCGGGAAACTGACGGCCAAGCTGCAAGTAAGACTCTTCGTCGAAGCTACTTCGTCGACCGATACGTGCATATATGCATCGTCTTTCCTTTTCAGTGGAGCGGTGGGCAATTAGTTGCCCTTGGCTGGTCTCAGCAGGAGGAACTACTGTGCGTACAGGACGACGGCATGATTCATATATATGATATGTTCGGTACATACCAGCATGCATTTACCATGGGAAATGTGCGATACTTTCTTTACAGTCAAACATTATGGATTTGCAGTTACAAGAGTCTGACCGAAACGTTTTTGTATGTTAGAAGGTGAAAAACACTAAAGTCGTGGAGGCAAAGTTTTTTCAAAGTTACAACGGGACTGGCATCGCGGTTTTAACTTCCACTAATCATATATTCTTGGTAAACAATGTAGCTGAACCGAAAGTGAGACAAATATCAGAAATTCCCAGTATGTACAATAGTTTATCTCTTTCTCTCGTTGTTTTTAATTCTCGATGATCGAGAATCAACTATTATTCTATTCTTAAGGATTCGGCGGGCCTATCGAGTGTTGGTGTCTAGTCAATTGCGACAGAGAAACTCGCGTGATATTATCTACTGTAGACGGAATATTCGTCATTCCACAGTCTTCGCAGAATGCGACTCAAGTACAATACGTAAGTAGTATCACTGTAACAATGAAACGCCGAAAGATATGAGGAAGAAAAGGTTTCATATGTAAATCTGACAGACTTTTGTATTTATTTTTAGGATAATCTTTTTAGCAGGCATAATAAAGTGTACACCGTGACCGCTATGGCTGTATCTGGAAACAATCGTCATATCGCTCTTTACACGGACACTGGCCATCTGTACATGGGTACCATAGATTTTAAGGAAAAGTATTGTGAACACTATACAAGCATGAAAGAGCCGGTGGGAGATATGGCGTGGTCAGTAGGCGTCGCAGTCTCACAGAAATGCATTGCTCCATTTTAATCGTTCCCGGTGCTCGTACACAGGTGCGGGACAGAAGCTGTGATATGCACGTGGAACAGTACCGTGATGGTGATCGGACGATCAGCCGAAACTATAACGTACGCTTACGATGGCCCTATACGTCTGGTCACGGAGATCGACGGCGTGCGCGTGCTGTCCGAGACTTCGCACGAAATGATACAAAAGGTACCGAACGTCGTTCAAAAGATATTCCGAATCAATTCGATGGACCCTGCGTCCTATCTGCTGGAAGCCTCGAAGCAGTTTCAAAAGAGGAGTCACAAAGCCGATACGTACATGGACATGGTGAGAGACAACTTGGACACGGCGATAAGGACTTGTATCGACGGGGCTAGCCACGAATTCGGCTACGAAACGCAAAAACTATTAATGAGGGTACGTACACGTTACGTTTACGGTTACGTACGGTAACGGTTACGTTACGGTTACGTACGTTACACGTTTCTATTTCTAAATTTTGCACCGTACGATCGTATTTTTACTTCTACTGGTAGGCCGCGAAATTTGGGAAAGGATTCAGTAAAACTGTCAACCCCGACTATTACGTAAATATGTGTCGAACGTTGAGAGTTTTAAACGCGGTGAGACACCCTGCGATCGGGATACCTCTCACGTACACACAGTATCCTTTTTTTAAACGTCGTTCGGCGCTACGTCGTTTGATGCTGTGGCTTTCGTATGAGACGACGTTTCCTCAACAACGATAGATTCACCGTTCTCACGAGTCAGGTATTGTTGGACAGGCTAGTCGCGAGACGACACTATTACTTGAGCATACATATCGCGCGGCACCTTCAGCTACCGGAGATCGAAGGAGAAAGTCGAATATTAGCTCATTGGGCTTGCTACAAAGTACGTCAGTAGTCACTGTTCCCGATTGTCCTCTTAAACGCGTTAACTATCACGCACTCTTCGAATAGGTGAAACAGACGCAGCTGGACAAGAGACAAATAGCCGAGGAGATAGCCGATAAATTGGGTTACGCGCCTGGTGTTTCTTACAGCGAGATCGCGAAGAGGGCAGCCGATTGCGGTCGAAAACAGTTGGCTATCAAGGTAAATTAGTACGGATGGCAAGCCTTGATCTCAGTTATTTTCGATATTTTCTGTGTGATTATTAGCTGATAGATTACGAACCCCGCGCGCATCAACAAGTACCACTGTTATTGACGCTCGGCGAGGAAAGAGCAGCTCTACGTAAAGCCGTTGAAAGCGGAAACACAGATTTAGTTTACACGGTAATACTGCACCTCAGGGAAAATATGCCACTCGGCGATTTTCAGGTAATTCTTTTACTATTAGAGATAACAGAGACGTTCCGTTTGAATAATCCATGAACTATCTTTCTGCGCGATTACCCCTTCCAGATGTCCATAATGCACTGCCCTTTGGCAATGGCCCTGTACGTGAAATATTGTCAGAATCATAATCGGGAAACGCTGCGCGACATTTATAATCAGTACGACGATTTTCATTCTCAAGCGATATGGTTCATTACCGAGAGTTACCAAAGGAAGGTTTGTACCGACGACACAAAACATACGTAACTGCGATTCGGATCTCCTCCTGACAGATCGTAATGCTCCTTAGAACACGATGTCGAGGGAGGCGTTATTACAATCGGCAATGGAGAATTTTAAATTGGCACGCAGCGATACTAATGCGAGTTTGACAGATGAACAGATCAAACTGTTGCGATACCAAAGATCCCTGCAGGACACGGTACGCGAACCAGTAGTTGGAAAACCACTTCACGACACTGTGAAGTTGTTACTGTTGAACAACATGTTGAAGCTGGCTGACAAATTGAAATCGGAATACCGTATACCGGATCGAAGGTACGCGCTGCTAGTACGAAAGTTCGCGAATTCAACGAGTTCGATGTAGAACGTCGACTTGTTCGTACGTATTCTCTGCATTTCAATTGGTAAATTCTACTAGGTATTGGTGGTTACGAATCCAGTGTCTGGCCGAACAGGGTATGTGGAGCGATTTGGAGAAATTATCCAAGAGCAAAAGATCTCCCGTCGGCTACGAGGTATGTATTACGTTGACGAGCGTTTACGATTTGTCTTGTACCGTGGACTAGGAAAGATGGAAAAAATCTATTTAATTGTTCCAGCCGTTTATAGATCAGTGTTTGAAGTATAACGAAGAAAGGGAAGCGAAGAAATACTTACCCAGAGTGAGGGACGAATTAAAAGTGAAATACTTGGTCAGACTGAAGTGAGTGTTCACGATCGATCGATCGTTAATGAGACAACGAGATCATTGATATGTGTTTGCAGAATGTTGAACGAAGCTACTCAAGTCGCCATCGAACAGAAGGATGTCACCGCATTGTCTTTCTTATTGGCGCAATGCGAACCAACTACGGACAGACAGTTGATCGATAAAATTAATATGCACATATCGAGCTTGAAGAATTAGAATCGAGTCAAAAGCCGATCAGACGATCAGATATCCTCGAGTTCAACGGAACCGCGAAACGCTGGTTCGAAGCGGTACACGATTTTTCCAACATGCTTACCCGGTTCGACTTACATTCGACGTGTAAATAATGGATGACTACGGTGGGTATAGTCGGGGTGCATCATCGATCAACACCGAAGAAACAGCCTGGTTGTTCGATATTTATTTTATAATATATTTTACTCGTTTAAATGCATCTTTATACCTTTGTAAATTGTACTTATGTACATGGACAATGTGTGTGTGTGTATCAATTACTTTTTACGGACGGATCGTATGAAAGCTTCATGCTTCTCGATGAGAGAACGTACGATCAATCGTTCGATTTCTTCACCCTTGCTCAGCTGTTCATCGGTGAGGGAAAGAACGTAATCGCTCTCTCGACTTACAAACGTTACTTGTTGCTTCCGAGTGTGCAGCATATTGGCTATGACTAACTACAAGAAGTTCGTTTTAGTATGCAGAAAAATATATTATCGATCAGACGTTACTTACATTGTGGTTATACTTGTTCAGCGCGCCTCTCGCTTTCGAAATTAAGAGGCTTTCGTCGGTTTCTAATTTAAATGATACGACGAAAGCCTCTGGGACCCACAAGCTCACTAGAGGGGCCAATATTTTCGGTACCAAGTGAAGGGATATCGTGGGAGCTGTGCTGGACGAAATTTTATGAACAGACTGAAAATTGAAGAACCATTTTCAACTCCACGTTTTAACGATTCAAATCATTTTTCTTTGATCGTGCGGTATTCGTATACGTACGTACCAGTTCGTTGGATGGAATATAGAAATCTGAGACTGCAGCCGCTAGGTATAAGATCGCCTGTTCCTTCATGCAAGCCAGCGTCTGACAAGCAGCGCGAAGAAGCCAAAGATACTCGGAGAGAGTAGTAAAAGTTATTTGCAGTAATTTATCTTGCTTTAGAGCTTCCTTGTATCTGCATAATATCTTTGTCAAGTTAGACACGTATTGTGGAGCGACTACGAATAATTGTCAAGGGAATTAAGGGAGTTCGTCTTGTGTCACTCAACAGGTCACATACCTGTAAAGGAAATATACCTGTAAGCGTGGTTTTGCCATCGTGGTCATTCATTTCCAACATATCTAAAAGCTTCTGTCCCTTAAGGTGTCTGGAAAACGGTTCCAGAGAATTGGCTCTGGAACACAGAAAACGCAGCATAAGTACATCGCATTTACCAGCATTTTAATCGTTTGCTACTGGAAGGTAAGTACCTATACATAAAAATGACAGCATATCCATTTTCTAAAAAATATTCCGCGGACACGGATCCTCTCGTTCCGGCACTAAAATTGTCAACGAATCTTACAGTATTGCGTTCTAAAGGAATTGTCGTACCACCGCTCTATAAAATGAATGCCTGCTGATCTTAGGACTCTCTTCGTTTGTTTTACAGTAATCTACATGTACACTTAAATACTTTATTATAAAATGCGGTGTGTAACACTCACTGTCACTAAGACCACTTTGTCATCTCTGTTCAACTGTCGTTTTACAAATTCCTTCATTAACGTTACGCTCTGATCGAAATCCTGAGGTTTCTGATGTTTGGCATAAAAATCCTCCCATGTAATGTCCATTTTTTTTTAACGTAATCAATCAAGTTATAACTCTCGAATGAAATGCCGACTGGTAAACTGCTGAAAAATATGAAAATTCGACCGTTGACTTAAGGGAATTACTACGTGTGCGATTGATAGTAAAAGTCTAACGATCGACTGGATTACTGAACTGATCGATCACTATAATAGCAATAATAGCGTGATCATGATCACGTGATTTTCATTCTGGTTATATCTGATGTCTATGTCTATGCATACACGGGACTCACTTTTTAACACGTTCATCCAAAGAGCCGTATGAACTTTGGACGATCTCGACTCGCTGTAGTACTACATAAATCCAGCGACTGGACAAACTGATGTTTTATTCAAGGATCTTTTATTCATGAAACTAGGAGGAGGGTCGAAGAACACGAAAGAACGGGAGAACCGTTACGAACATACGACACCCCTTGCCTATGGATCATCTGCAGATTCCGAGTCATTCAGAGTCTCGAGTCCTGTTAGATCCTCATCGTATCTCCGAGCCCCGGACGTCGCAAATGCACCGGCAAATGCAAATCTTAGCGACCCTGACAAGCCGTTTCTTAGAGCCCATTGAGAGAGTGCTGATTTTCTTTTTCGTGGTTTTAGATTTAATCGATCGAAAGAGAAACCTGTTTTGAAGGTCTCGTATTATTAAGAAAATACAAGAGCTATTCACCACGTGGCATGTGCTGTGCTATATGTATGTACACATACTTCAAACGATTTTGGGGTTGCACGTGGCGCCATCTAGCGTTCATGACCGCGTACCCGCTTGCCTCCAATATCTGCGGCAAGCCGGCAATATTGGCTGACAAATAATCCAATGTGGTTTGGTGCCTATACTAAAATCGTTTGAGGTCCCTCCACTACGGGCCGAGTGGGCTTTGCGATAACGAGAAATATGATACTTTGGCCTGTTCGGCCCTTGATAGTCCGCCTGGTCCCAGGGTTCTCATAATTTATCCCTCAGCCGGAAAGTGGGGGCGACGCGACCATGGTGGGGACTGGCATGATGTAAAAACATAAGGTGTGTTCTTCCGCCGTGTTCAAATCAGGGTTGAGATATTTTTACCCACGACGCTCGCTTCCCCTGTTTTTCGCCCGTATTTCGATCCCCACTACTATTCCCCTCATGCGTGCTCATGCGCGTTCGCGAAGCTCTCCGCAGCGTTATGGTCCCCACCATGGTCGCGTCGTCCCCACTTTCCGGCCGTGGGTAAAAATATCTCAACCCTGGTTCAAATGTGTCGCTGTTTGCGCCTTCCACTCATCGGCCATTTTTGAAGTACGATGACCTATTGCACGCATATATATTACACTCCGAGAACCTAATTTTTGACATGTTTACGATTTTAAAATTAGCTCTGTTTTAATATGAAGCGTGATTGGTTAGAAATCCAGAATGGCCAACGAGTGGAAGTGTCCGTGTAGAGATGGATGTTCAAATAGATGCGCAAGAACACACCTTATGTTTTTACACCATGGGGACTGGTACTTGATGGGAGCAGAGAGTTTCTCTCTGACGCTAGGCATGGTCAGTGATTTTCAAAATTTGTAGGCTTATTTTGGCTATACATCTTGTCAAGTTGGCAACGTCGATGTCGATAGTAGCGCCAAGCCAAGCGTGGCGTAGACGAACGCAGCGCTGAATCCTTCTCATTTGAGTTTGGGTGCCAGGCTTATACATTTCGATGTGCGATTTCCTATTTCTGTTCAATATTGTTCTTGTTACCCGTTATTTTGTTGTTTTCGTTANTGCACTTTAATAATTTATATTATTAATCTGTGAAAAACAGGTCATGAGAGCAGCGACAGCGACACCAGTGTCATGACTCCATCTACTTCAAAGAAGGTTCCAGTGAGGAACGTCATTGGCATTTCTGTTGACAATGCAAGTAGAATGGTGGAGAAAGATAATTCATTCGTTTCTCGGCTGCTGGCAGAAAACGATTCAGAAGTTGTCGTTTTACCAGATATATGCCACTCCATTCACCTGGCAGCCTGCAATGCATGTGAGAAGTTGCCGCGGCACGTGGAATATTTGTTATATTCATTGTACACGTACTTCAATACAAGCCCTATAAAACAGCAAAGTTTGGAAGACATTCATTTGGAGATAATGTACATAGCAAAACAGAAGCTCCTACAACCTTCGACAACAAGATGGCTGGCAATGTCACAATGTGTCGAAACAGTTCGAAAGCAATGGAATGCTCTTTACACATATTTCGCTGTAGAAGCGTGTACAGAGGCAGATCCATCATTTCCCGGGACGAGCTTGGAAGAAATCATATTTAGCAGGATGAAGTATCCACTAACGAAGGCGTACTTGGAGTTTTTGAATTATGTCTTCGAGGCGTCCGCGAATTTCAACGCTCGTTTCCAAACGAACGACGTACAAGTACACTGTTTATATTTCCAGTGTACAAAGTTTCTAACAAACGTAGCATCAAATTTTATGCAACCTGAAGTTGCACGAAGGAACGACTTATATACAGTAGATCCGTATAATGCAGAATATTTATTACCATCAGATAAAATTAACGTCGGGCCAGGTGCACGAAGTACCCTTTGTGAATTCACCTCATCAACGGAGGAAGAGAAAGAAGAGAAAATAACAGCTTTCTACAATAATTGCTTACAATATTATCAAGAACTTTTCCAAGAAACAGTTGAAAGACTGCCGTTCCAGAACAACTTCATACGCGACTTATCTTTTCTGCTACCAAAAAATGCTCTGCAAAAGAACAAATACTTAGGCCAATTAGATTCGATATTCAGAAAATTCAAATGGAAAATTGAGGAAATGGATACCTGGTATGAGTGGTGTCAGCTCGGACAGCTCATTGAAGAAAATGAAGTGGACGATCTGTCTAAATTAGAGCCAGTACAATTTTGGACTAAAATACAATCAATGAAGTGCTCAAACAATATAGAAATGTTCCCAAACATTTCAAAATTGGCAAATATGTGTCTCTGTCTTCCGCATTCGAATGCGGAAACAGAACGTTTCTCTTCGATGGTCCGTGAGGTACAAACTTTAGATAGAAATCGTTTGAAACCAGAACTATCGCTGCAACAATGAGAATAAAACTGTATTTAAGGAATAGTAAAAAAACCTGCATGGACTATCCTGTATCAA